CAAAGACCTTAAGGGAAAGGCAACAAAGAGGAAGAGAGAGAGAGAGATATCCTCGCCACACCATCGTCCGTCCCGCCGTCCGCCGGTATCTTATCGTATCGGTATTAAAAAATGACACGATAACGGTATTAATACCGGTCTCGGTATTCAGAAAATGCTCGATATTTTTCAAACAATAATAATTATTATTAGTATTATTCTAGTTACCATAATTATAACTGGACATACAAATACAAATCATTATATACAACCAAATCAAATCGTTCACTGCCCACGAAAATGACTCACCTGAAAACCCTTCTCAAACTCCTCTAAAAGTCGTGCACGTTCCACCATCAAATCATAACCAAATTCAATGGCTCGTTGTTTTTCCGCAAAAGTCAAATATTCCGGCTGAAACAATCGGATTGTATGAATGATTTACTTATAATATCACACAAAAAACTTATAATCCCTTTATGAAATAAATTGCTCACTTAATAACTGCCTGCCTAAATGCTTGTTCACGTTCTCAAAATGCCACTGCAATAACCTTTTACATCCTACTACAATATAACAAAACCATCAGATTTTATTTCTGAAACCATTAGATTCATAAAAGCAACCATTTTAGATATACACACATCAACTATACATCATTAAAACATCCATCACACTGTATCACTACTTGCCTAGCGAATGTCAATTGATAAATATAGCAGACACGCACGGATCTCGTTATGGACTGAGTTAAAGTTACAATTTGCAGATTGCAAAGCTAAACGAATCGACGACTCCTATTGATTTTATCGTGGAACACTCAACATTCGACACCGCCATCACAAAAATTCGCGCATAAATTTCAAAAAACAAACATTCAACAACCAAAACAAAACACAAGAAGCACACCGTCAATCGAAATTAGTACCTGAATATTCACCTGATTTATAAGATCGTTCAGTTTTTTCACGTCTTCCGACGGAATCTTCAAGATGAAGCCACAACCGGCATCAGTGATTTTTTGTCGAAGTGCCGGCAAGTCGAAATCAATCGACGAGTTGAAGCTAGCCTCTGTGCCGATCGGCAAAAGTCCCAGACGTTCCTCTAAGGCTGTGATTCGTCTCTCGAGAGTGTCTTCCATTGACCACACAATCGATAACTGAAAGAAACGACTCGAAAACGACTTTCTAAAACAATGTGAACTAATAGAACACGATACCAAAAGCCGCCTGTACCTGATTCAATCTAACGAATAATAACAGATAATTGGATAATAGGTATAAGCCGGACGGTAGCCTGGCTCAGGCTCACAACACATTAATGATATTGCTACACCACTGGGTAATTGGTACTTAGCGGGTTTGATTCCCGTTCGATCCGGAGGAAAGTTTTGCCCGAAACCGAGTGGTGTACCAATACCATTAATGATTCATTTTAGCGAACGTCTCAATTAAAGTCAATATGATTCAACGGTGTGCAGGCACTTCG